ATTCTTATAGCTATCTACTATAGATCTTTTATTTTAGAGTTTTTAAGAAGAACTAGAAAGTTAAATAGACTATATATATAGCTAGTAAAGTTTACTAAAGTAGTATATTTTATTACACTAAGTATTATTATTATTATTATAAGAACTAAAGCCTTAATAGTAAGTATAAAAGAAAAGTTTAGTATAGAAAATTCTTTATATTTAGTAAATATATTAGTAAATTCTTAGAAGTTTTAAAGTGTATAGAGATATTAAGAAAGATATAGAATAAAAAGAAGTATTCTTTATATATAAAGTTTTTATAATTCTCTCTAAGCTACTATTCTCTATACTATAGTTTACTTACGTAAATATCTTTTTATATTTTATAGTAGTACTATAATTTAATATTATTCTAGACCTAAAGTTTACCTACGCTTAGAAAGCTTTTATATTAACTTTTAAGTATATTTTAATATTTCTATAGCTCTATAGCTTACCTATTACTATCTCTAAGTATACTAAAAAAGCCTTTATTACTATTACTCTCTATAAGCATATTATTATTATTATTATTATTATTAAAGTACTATATCTATAGTAAATATTATAAAAAGAGTTTTATTAATTATTATAGCTATATATAGTAAGTATAAAGTGTTTAGAAAATATATCTATATTAAGATTACTATATAGAGTTACTAACTACGTTTTATTACTCTACTCTATATTAACACTTTACTATAATAACTAATATAATTATCTAGTATATATAGTATTATATAATCTATTAGCGTTTAAAGCTATATAAAGACTAGAAGTAAAGTTTACTTTATTCTTTATTTATATCTAGAAGCTTCTAGACTAATATTTTAGTTAACTTTATTATACTATTACTTTTATACTCTTATTTTAGAAAAATATATAAATATATTATAGTTATTATTAATAGACTTAGTAAGTAGTAGTAGTTTATTACTTTTAATAGTTTTAAGGTATAGACTATAGTCTATACTTTTACTAAGTATATCTAGTAAAAGAAAAGCTTTCTATTTACTATTATATCTAACTATAAAGTTTAGTTTATTTTCTACTTTTAGAAAAAGCTATATAAGTATATTAGTATTATACTAAAGCTATCTACTATATACTACTTAGAAACTAATAGTTAGATAGAAGTTACTAATACTAGACTAAAGTATTATCTTTAGGTCTATACTAACTATATATAAAATAATTAAGTTAACTAGCTTTCTATTATATAGCTTACTATTAATAACTATAAAAATATATTAACTAGTATTACTTTAGCGCTAGCTACTAAGAGTTACCTTCTATATATAAAAGTTAAGTCTAACTAGCTTATTATAGCTACTTAGTTTTACTTAGAGTAGCTTCTACGTAAGAAAGCTTATAGTATAGTATAGTATATATCTAGTATTATCTAGTTAATATAGAAAAACCTTACTTAGATATAGAATAGAATAAAGTACTATACTAACTAGGCTAAATAAACTACCTCTAAATACTATATTAGTAATTAAGTCTATTTAGATACTTATAATATCTTTACTATATACTCTAACTAAAGACTTAGTATAAAGAACTTAGACCTTTACTATATCTCTACTATTTCTAACTACTATACTATTATTCTTAACCTACTTAATTATTATAAGAATATCTACTCTATTTTTTACTTATAGCTATTATATCTAAATATAGATTAATCTAACTAAAAGTCTAAAAAGAAGCTTATATATACTTAATCTAATAGTATTTATTTTTTTATTTTTTTTATTTAGAGTTCTAAGCTTTTACTCTTATAAGTATACTACTATTCTATTTTTATTCTATATATTTATAGCTATAATTAGTACTTTACTATATACTTTTAATTAATAAATATATAGTAAGAAAGATTAGTTTTTTTATATATAAAAATAGTTATAATTTAAACTTCTAAGCTAGTCTAAAAGAGCTATAAATTAATAATATTCTTAATATATAATTCTATAAGCTCTAGTAAGCTTATAATAGATAGAAAGACTTAAAAGAGTCTTATAGCTTATTTTATTATATTCTAAATAGTTTTAGTAGCTACTTTATATAGCTAATATATAATTATCTTAAGCTTTAAGACTTCTAGAGTATTAAGTAAAAGTAATTATATAATAAACTATTACGTAATTACTATTAAGCTAAAGTAATACTATAAGTAATATTATAATTAGTATTATATTTATAGAAGTAAGAGATAAGAAAAAGAAAGTATAGTAAGCTAGAGACTTAGAGTTATAATAATATATTATTAAATAGCTAGATCTAAAGTATAAAGTAATAGTATATAATACTTTACTAAGTAAATAAGTATTTATAAAAAGAGGTATTTATATATTTTATGCTACTTTCTAGATTTACTATAATTCTATATAACCTATAATATCTATTATAACTATCTATACTTTTAATAAACTAAGAGAATAGATATAAATAACTATTATAATTAATACTAAAAAACGCTTCTCTTAACTCTCTTTAAGAAGTTTATCTAAAATAATATATATATACTATATACTTAGCTAACTAACTTCTTTTTTAACTTTAAACTTTATAATAAGTTTATACTTTTTTTTTATAACTTTAGTACTATAAATAAGTTTTTTAAGTTAATTCTAAACTATATTACTAGTAATAAGCTACTATATATACTATTAATTATTAAGAAGTAAGCTAGTATTTTAGTTTTTAGTAGTTAAGAGTATATAGAACTAGTAAACTTTTAAGTTAAAAAAAAGAACTTATATACTATACTTATAAAAATTAATACTTATAGTAAGCTCTAGAATTTTCTAAACTAGAAGAAAACCTTTTTTAAGTATATAGCTAATAATAGTTACGCTAGTATATAGCTTAGATAGTTTAGCTATTTTTTTACTTTTCTTAGAATAATATAGCTTTTTCTATAAGCTATCTTATATATAAATTAAACTAACTAACTAACTAAAGCGCGCGCTATTAAAAATATATAGCTAAGATTAATAAAGTAAAAGAATATATTAATAGGTAAGTAGAAATTAAGAGTTAGGTATAAGTATTAGACTTAAATAAGTAAGATAACTAGTAAAGTGTATTAGAAAGAAAAAGAAAGAGATAAGCTATTATTATTATTATTATTATTATTATTATTATTATTAGTATTTACGTAGTTATACTTATATTATAATAATATAATAGATTATAAATAAATACTAAGTGCTAAGTACTACGTATAATAAGTAAATACTACTACTTCTATATACCTAAAACTATAGTAATAAAGCTATAGTAGCTAAAAGTATTTATAACTACTATATTAAAAAAGTAGTTAATTACTATATTAAACGCTAGTATAAGAACTCTATTACTAATACTAAAAGTACTTAGTAGTATAAAGTAAAGTATACTAATTTACTAAACTAGAATATAAATTCTTTTTAGTAAAACTATACTAACTTATAAAGTATAGAAAAAGCTATTTAGAACTTTTATAATAGTTACTTTTATAAGCTTTTTCTATATAAGCTATACTAGAACTTAGTAATATATTTTAATACTATCTTTATGTATACTTTTAATAGCTATATTAATAGTACTAATAATAAAAATATAGTAGATAGCTTTAATACTTAGCTAGCTAATCTAATTAGAGAAAGTTAGTTATAGCTTTAGCTTAGAAAGTAAGCTTTATAGTTATTTAGTTATACTAAAGTAGCTAAGTAAAATAAAGTACTTAATAATACTTAATTAACTATAGAATCTAGTTCTTTATACTATACTACTCTTTCTTAGATATTATATCTAGGTTACTATTATAGACTCTAATTCTAACTCTAACTCTAATCTTAACTCTAACTCTAACTCTAACTCTAAATCTAACTTTAATTTTAAGTCTATTAGCTTTAATCTAAACACTACACTTATATATTATAATATAACTAGATAGTACTTTATAAAGAATATAATATACTATAGAATATTAGAGAATAGAAAATAGAAATAGAGTATTACTATAAAGATATATATTATATTAAATAGCTATTACTATTAAAGCGCGCGCTTTTAGAAAAGCTTTTTAATTACTAGTATAATTACTTTAAGAAAAAAAAGTAATATTATAGTTTTATTTATACTTACTTAATTATATTATTATATAACTAGCTTAGTCTAATTAAGTTAAACTAGTACTAGCTCTAGAATATAAAAGTTTCTATACTTTTATATTCTACTTAATAGCTTATATTTTATTATATACTTATTTAATTATATCTTTTATAACTAATAAGTAAAGCTATAAGTAAAGTAATAAAAAAGATAATAAGAAAAGTAATAATAAAGTTAATAAAAGTAAAGAAGTTAGCTTATAAGATACTAGCTATTTTATTAATATTAAGTAAATTAAAAAAAGTAAAAGTAGCTAAGATATTATTAATAAGTATATATATTTTTTAAAAGCTATACTTAATACTTATAATATTAATAAAAAAAATATTAGTAGCTATAGTTATATAAGTTATAAAAGTAATAAAGATACTAAAGTATAGTTATATTATATATTTCTTAACTATTAACTTACTATAGTATATATAATTTAATATTCTAGTTCTTTTTTATTCTATTTATAGTACTATAATAATATAAAGTAAAATAAGCTACTTATAATTTCTAAATTATATAACTACTATATACGCAAAGGTACTTCTTATTAAATTAAGAGAGATCGCAATCCTCAGAGTCTAATTACGAGAGACAGTGGTTTCAAAGTGAGCGCTTGTATTCGGCCCACATCTCGTACATCGGGTAGCTAGAAGAAGGAAGACGGCTATACTGAACATTGAATTTCGTACACCCCCAGTCCTCAACCAGATCTTCTGCCCTCCCGCTTGTAAACTCGTCGGTCATCTGAGGTCTTCAGACGCTGTAATCCACGACTGGTCGATAACTTGCGAAATCGAGAAATACACCGAGACATCCAACAGTAATCAGTTAACGTGTGAGTTGTCGGTTGGTTGTAAATCGCCGGTCTGCTTCTGGACGTCATCGACCCTCTTGAACGTAGCTCGGGTGAGGATCACATCAACGGCATCTGTGCGGAGTCAGTAATGACCCACGCGCATGCGGAAGCTTCACGTACCTTTCAACGCGCGAATTTCTTTTGCCAACAGTCGGTCCTCCTTCAAGTCTGCGAGCGCAAGCGTGGTGTCTTCAAGCGATGCCTGCTCCAGCTTGAGCTGGCGAAGACGTTCCTGGATGTGCGACAGATGAGGATAAAGGATGTCGCAGAACACCGGGTCATACCACTGCTGTTCTGCACATACGTTGGGGTCGCCGAAGGTCATCGCTGGGTCGGTGTAAACCATGTTCTCCTCAGAGGCCCTCAGCGCCTGCCCGAAAGGCGCTATGGTCCTCGCGTAAACTTCTTCGGTGATGTCAGGTGGTGTAGGGCTGTCTAGCATGGTCATCAAGGGGTCGAGGTCGATAACAGCGTGTGAGGTGGCAGGTGCCTCGGGCGGTCCGTTGAGGTCATTGCTCTCAGTCTGCTGTTCGGTGGATGCGTAATCAGAGGGAGTCGTGGGACGGGTTCGCTGAGTTGAGTCGTCGTGCTGCTCATTGACATTGGCTCCTAGAGATGTCATCCGCTGGGCAGGCAGCAGCCTCTGGGATATAGTCAGCATCTGCGGTATGTATACATACTCTGGCGGCTTACGTAGACGACTGCGTAGACAGTCTCATCAGTGTTGGGTAAGACGTCAGACAAGAGGTCATCGAGATCCAGAACCGGTCCGAATTGGGTGTCCAGGCGCAGGATAATCTGAGTTCCATGTGCGGGGACGCTGAAATCTGGCAGGCGTGACCTGACCTTGTCGAGCAAGGCCGAGCAGGACTGGGACGGCGAAAGCACGACGAGTAAGCTCACTGTGCGCGATCCAGCTACGACCTTGACCGTATATCTCGCCATGTTGTGCGTGCGCAGGCAGTCGGAGTTGCTGACGTTGAGTCCGTGGTGAGGTGAGGTGAGGAAGTTGATGGGGCAGGGTGGTTCAGTTGAAGAGGAAAGCGCGGGTGGTCACGTGACTCCCCGAGCCACTTGAAGACCTGACCTGACAGCGTTGCAGTCATACTGAAAAATAGTAATTTCGTGCGCATTCAAAATTCAACCACGTCAATAAAGACAGACACGTGTGGTCTTCCGAGTGCACGTAAAAAAGAGATTACCGGAAGAAACCATGTTCCAGAGAAACCGAGCCATCGGCTGAGTGATCTGAAAGGAAAGCAAAGCACCATACACGTGGAGCATTTGACGATGACAAGACAATAGCCCCGGTGGATCTCATAAAGTACTGAAGAGGCAGAGAAGGAGATGTAATACTCACTACCGGTATGATACGTTACCAGTGTTCTATTAAGTGTCCAGTCATGTGTACGCGGGTAGTCGTGTCAACAGATCACGGCCCGATACTGTGGAATGTCTTGTTTGTTCCTCTGATATGAACAACACATTTATTCACTTCCACTCACGTCGAAGTAGGCTTTCTAGTATGTTTCGAGAACGAAGCTTGACAATAAGAAGTCCGGAAGGAGCACGCGTGGATGATGTCAACAGACGAAGGACGCGTTGTTGAATCGCAATACTGCGGCCGTAGAGCCTCAGATTAATGTGTTCGCGCCATATCTCCGACGACCTATTAAAAATGTCTGAGACTAATGGAGATGATATTGATGGCTGGCAGGCGGATGTGATGAGAGAGTGAAGTTGGATGAAAGCGCCCGACAAGACACGTGTTAGCGCGCAGTCCGGCTTATCGATAACAGCGCCGGGGAATTATCCAACTGTCCTCATGGCCCTCCACCAAACCACGACTTGCGCCAACCTGTCCTCTACCCACGCACATATCGCTACGGTCCCATAAACGTCCCATTCCAGCATACATCAAGCAGACATCAATCATGGAGTCACCGGACACGTTCACGCTCCTCCCTCTCGAGATGGACCCGCAAACCAGCACCATCACCGCATCCCAAAGCACCAGCAACGCCCTCCAGACCGAGCTCGACGCACTGAACAACCTCCACAGAAACCTCCTGCACGTCGAAACACCCACGGGCACACCGCCGCCACCTGTCCCCGTCAACCCCAAGCGTTCCGCCCAGATCAACAAGCTGCGCGAGTCGGGCAACGCCGAGTTCAGGAAAGGAAAGCCCGAAGAGGCGGGCAAGCTCTATACTCTCGCAATCGACATGGCGCTCGCTCGTCCGGCATGGGAACCTTCAGGTCTCGTCAGGGAGGAGGTCTCTGGGCTGCTCAGCAACCGCGCGCAGGCAAACATGGCACTCAAGAACTGGGCGGAGGGCGCAGTAGATGCGGAAGCCAGTGTGGAGATGAAGAAGGTGGGCAACGCCAAGGGGTGGTGGAGGCGTGGCAAGTGTCTGCTCGAGATGGGCAGACTTGACGAGGCAGAGCAGTGGGTCAAGCAAGGATTGGAATTCGAGGCAACAGAGCAAGATCTCGTCAACTTGAGGGACGAGATTGAGAGGAAGCTGAGAGGCGAGGTTTAGGTTGTTCTCGCCAGCGATCCGTTTGAGCACATGACATATGGAGGACTTCCGCCTCGTCACTTGTAGGATTTGGACTAGACGGAGGCGCAAGCTGGGAGCAGAGGTATACGATGGCATTGTGCTAGTGGCATCGCTAGCAGGTCTCTATGATACGAGCATGAGCAGCGGGAGGATGGGCATTGGCAAGGCGTTTGGCGCTGGAAGGCGTATACCACACTTGAGCCTATCAGGCTTTGAGGCATTCATAGCGAATCCATTGGACTAAATTTCCAATAATCAGGCTTGTCTCTTTCGTGCGCGTGATATTCAGTGTACCGAGCCCATCGAAGTTGTCACGTTCCATGGTACGCCTGCCAAGCTTTTCGTAAAGTGATCCCACTTATGAGTCGCGCGCACCCCTTCCGACTACCATCACACCAGAGAGTGACTGCACAGCATTGCGCCTCGCCATGAACGACGACTGACCACGTCAAGAGCGCGCAATCAGTACAATCTACTCTCACCGGCTCAGACACAGCAGACAAGCTCCATCCCACGCTTCTCCTCACTGTCACAAGCCTAGATCAGAAACACCTCACTCATTCCATGCACCAAATACACATACCCTACATAGCACTTCTGCACACCCACAGTACAGACTTGCTTGTCCGAAGGATTCAAACGGCGCGTTGTAGAACGCAAATCTACCTGGTCGCACAGGACCAGCAATTTCTCAAGAGGGATCAGGGGGCATTTCACCGCAACGGACGTAGGGTATGCTGTTTTGGTGTATGGGTGTGAGTGAGGGCGACGCCGAATTGTTCCCAGGCTCCTGCGCTGCTGCCGCGTGTGGGGTTTGAGGTTGTTCGTGCTCGGACATGCTTGAGATTTTTGGTAGAGGTAGCTTTCTAGTAGCTGTATGGGCTCCATGTAGAAGAATGATAAGCGTTCTCCCGGTGACCCACGATAATTTGGTAGCGTTGGTTCTTTGGGGGCTGGATCTAATCTACGGGCTGATAAGATGATCTGATAAAAGTTTCTGTTCTGCACTTTCCCTTCTTGGGCTTGGCGTGGTGAGCCGGTCTTTGTACTTCCCGAATACAGAACTACGACCGCGACTCCTGGAAAGTTCAAACAAGATTAACAGTCGAAAAAGACCTATGAGCAAAGTCCTTGTAGTTCAAACAACAACCAACAACTTCCTCATTGAACATATCAACCACACCGCAATGTGACAGATACACAACACCCAACAGCACACGCTATCGCACCCATCACGGTAATCTCCCGGTGGTATCAGCCCATCGCCGTATACGAAGACGCACAGTCTCACACAGTGGACCCAACCTACATCTTGATGCTACCAAGCCAAAACGGCCCGCAAAGGAGCCCCGTCTTCGCCCTGAAGCGGAGCCATGTCGAGATTTTCCTTTCCCGTTCGGCAGTACTAAAATGGGATCGTAGGCGCCGTCTTAACGCAGGCACATCTCTTATTTTATCAGATCATCTTTCAACTGCGATAAGGAGGGACGATGGCTGCACGACCCGATTCTGTGAGGTCGGTAGACAATGAGGGCCAGAGGCCGATTGAGTCTGAGAAGAAGGTGGGAGAGGTGGTTGCTTGTAGTGATGCGTCGTCTGAGGGGCGGGGTGACAGCGATAAGAGTGAGGCGATTCCGCTGAAGATGAAGCTTATCGCTATTCTTTTGGTTACGGCAACGGGGTTTGGGTCGCATTGGAGTAGTGGTGTGACTGGTGCGATGAAGAGTACGGTCAAGAAGGTATGGATTACATGATTGCTGCGATGGGTACGCGACTAACATTGACCAGGAATTACATATCAACAACGCGCAGTACTCCGTGCTGGAAGCCAGCGAGGACTTTATGAAGACCGCTCTGATCCTTGTCAGCGGTCTCGTCACCGATAGGATTGGTGGTGCCAGTTCGTCTCCCCTCATCTCTTGAATCATGTTAATGCTGACCGAATACTTTCCAGGTGCCATGCTCTGGGGTAACGCCATCTACAGCATCGGCGCCATATTCATCGCAGCCGCCACAACCGTCCGCTCGTACAAGTTCATGATATTCGGATCCATCGTCCAGGCATTCGGCGACATAGCCACACAAGTCGCGCAGTACAAGGTCTTCAGCTCCTGGTTCGCACCATCCAACGGTTTCGCATCAACCCTGGGCTTCGAACTCGGCATTGGCAAAATTGGATCTTTCGTCGGGAAGGCTACGGCGAACGTTATTGCGAAGAACACTGGCGACTTCAGTTGGGTGTACTGGGTCGCTGTCTTCATGAACCTCTTCACGAATGTTACCACCCTCCTGTACTGGTTCTTTACGCGCTGGTGCGGGAAGAAGTACACTGGCACCGCCGATCCCGCGACGGGCGAACAGCTCACGGAGAATAACAAGAAGTTTGAGTTTGGAAAGGTTCTGCGGCTTCCCTGGACTTTCTGGAGTATTGTTGCTTTCTCCCTCTTCCAGACTAGTACCGCTTCCGTCTTCGCTCAGAATGCGACCGAGTTCGCCGAGCAGCGCTTCGACATGGATGCCGTCAAGGCTGGCTGGTATTCCTCCCTAGCACAATATCTGGGCTTCTTCCTCGTTCCAACCATCGGCATCTTCGTAGATATCTTGGGCAACCGCGTTACCCTGATGCTTGTCTGTGGCTTGGGCATGCTTCTGTCCATGTGCCTGGCTACATGGGGCCCGACATACTCTGGCACCGCAGCTTCATTCGGCATCTACGGTGTCGCATCCATGTTTGGTCCGACTGTCATCATCGACTCGATTCGCACGTCCATGTGGTACCAAGAGGTCTTCGGCTCTGGCTATGCTGTCAAGATCGCCGTTAACAACGCCATGTCCATCATCATCCGTATCATCACGGGTGTCATCCAAGATCGCGACGACAACTCTTACGATAACGTCGTTATCGTATATGTTGTACTTTCCGCTTGCTCGGTCGTGGTCGCCGCGAGTATGTTTGTGGGCTCCTTCTGGACGAGCGATCTTGGTCATCTTCAATGGACTAGGCGCCAGCGCATTAGGAAAGGCGAGATTATCAACGTGCGGAGGAAGGAGTTTGAGTGTGGTTCTGTCGGGGAGAGGAACAGGAAGATCAGCCTGTCGTTGTTCGTTGCGCTATTGTTCTTGGTCGTCGGTTCGTGGGCGGCGTACTTTTGGGGTGTTGCGACTGGCAACAATGTTTGAGGCTGGAAGACCGATTGTCAATATCAATGGGAAGTTATTTCCCTCGCGAAAGACATTCACAGCTGTACCAGTCGTATCTAATCATAGTTCCAACATACCTATGTCGATCCGATCCCAGCGCTTTCGTATGTCAACTTTCAAAGAAGATAAACGCCCAAGAGCCTGCATCATCTTTAAATTACTTCCTTTGCACATTTTTCTATTCATGCAGTCTGCAGACCTATTCTCTCTTTTCTTGTTTCAAGGTGATCGCATAGACCTATACGCAATGAATTCCCCCCGCTTCAAATGGAACGACGGGTGACAGGCCAAGCGGGCAGGCGAATCCGACTTTTCCATTCTCTGAGTGGCCTCCTTACTTTCCTGCCATAATATCCAGGCTCTTTAGTTCCATCGTTTGGAGGGTGACGGCGGACTAAGCCATATATCTCGTAGGTAATGCCGTCAACCTCATACCACCAGCAGTCTTTTGTTGGTTTCCATTCGGCCGGCTCAAAATATCCTAAATCCCGTTCCACACCCACGCTGTAGGGAAGTAGTTCTTTCCTCTTTAGTTCCATGTTTTGATTTGGAGCTTCGGGGAAATAGCCCATCGCTTGAATATAGGGGTATACGTCAGGTCCGGGTCGTTTGCTACCAAACTTTTGATGCCAATCGTAAGTCGCCTTGACCCAGACGTCGTATAAGAATGCATCCAGGCTTGTGGACACTATACTCCAGCTTCTCCCTAATTCCACTAACGCGTTTTGATACTCAGCATAAGAGTGAGACAGGTCTCCCACCAACTCTTCCGTTCTTGAAGTTGTCCATGGGGTGACTCGAAGGTACGTTTGGATGGCTCTTCGTCTCTGGGTCACAAATTCTTCGTAAAAAATGGCCATCACATCGAGTAGAAGTACCTCCAAGGATCTTGCGTAGTTGATTGTGAGTCGCTGTTCTTCTTCCACGAGCCCCATGAACCCGTAAACCTTATCGCGAGGATCCTGACAATGACTTTGGCTAAACAAGCGAACAGCGTGTAGAAGCGTCATCCAGATATCTGGAAGATGAGATTTCACCAGATAACTCGCAGGTATCGGAGGGACGCGATACTGAAATTGCCCGGCTATTCTACACAGATCACTCCAATCTACCCAGACAGGACCGGTGGAGGGATGGTTGTATAGTACCTTCTTCTTATCTGACAAGATGATTTCCTGCACAATCCAGACGCGAGTGAAATAATCGTTTCGCGTAATAGACGTCACATAAAGCAAATCGCTTTCCCTGGAATACACCAGTCGGTCTTTGGTGTCTCTCAAAGCAAACGGCACATCTCGGTTGTTGTGAATGTTTCCAAGCCAGATGATGGTCTCGTGGCACCTGGAGTAGATCGATCCCATCATTCCAACCTGATGGTTTCTCTCTTTGACGCTGGTCTGGTCGATACAGATCTGGTCTATCCAAAGGTACTCGTCTCCCATCGGCTTCCATACGTAATCGTCCCCCACTGGTGTCCAATCGGCATATTTGTCCGTAGGCTCCCACGGGAAATCGTCCTCTGTCGTCATAACATAGGTTTGGAAGAACTGGAACAAGTTTTCTCTGATACTGAGGGGTTCGCCGTTGACCGAGATATTGAACTGTGGTGATGGTGGGCCCCAGGTGTAGGAAAGAGCCACGAAAGGTGGCGCGCTGCTCAACTCAAAAACTGATATGTCGAACTGCAGCCGGTTGTTCTCATCCAAGCGCAGCTTAATGAGGCGTATTTGCTGGGTGGATGTGTCCAGGGGTTGATGTCGATACATCTTTGTCGGCCCCATCTCGAATGGCTTCGTACTTTCTTCACGGTCCACATATGCCTTCTGATGTTAGCTTCGCTAAGCCTCTACGCCAGAGAGCAGGGCATCTACGCACCGGCGCATCCATAGTGGCTCATTCGAAGGTGACTGGGGCTACTAGGTATGCTGTATATCGCATTGAGAACCTGCAGTTGTGTCTTGTGTCGCGCGCTCGAGCACCCAGTCGAGTCAAATATCTAGGTAGCGATTGTCTCGGACTGTCGCTTATTAAGGCTTGGAAATGGAATTGAAGTGCATTCTAATTGCAGGATATGCGAAGAACTGGGTATGATATGGCCGGTTTTGCTTTTGCTGGATTGTGGCGGAGCTCATCCGAGGGGTATCGTGATGGCTTAGGCAGCAAAGGTCGGCCTGATTCGCTTAGCGAAAACCTGGCGGTCATGCAAGGCCGCCTCATTCAGTGAAGCGCGAATGCGGAGCTGTTGTGCAGCAGTTTGCAAAAACTGAGCTGGTAGACAACTAAACGACTTTGGTTCAGTTGCACACCTCGGCATGATCTACAAGGGCAGCGGTTTGATCGCCTCGAGCGAAGCGCCACAATAAACAAGAATTGAGCATCTGAGGAATACACTGCATTCTCCGACTATAGACTCGTCACGTTAGACGACATCGAAGTTGTCCGGGTATATCCAAGGTACCATACCAAATAGACCTCGCAGCAACAACATCTACCCCAACCCAGTGTCTTCAGCGCTTGAACAAACTCAACAACTTATCCTTATCGTTCTCACTCTCCACAGCACCAGACCCCACCAAGATGCACCGCATAACAGCACCGTACAAGATATCAATCATCTCATCCCTCGCAGCCACAATCTCGTCTCTCTTAGCCTTGTACTCACCATTCAACACCTCGATCTTTTTGTGCAAATTCCTGGCAAACTCGGAGTTCTCTCGGGCCAGCTTTGCGCTCTTCGCGGCATCGGTGTACATGGCTACCTTGATACCCTCGTACATGGCGGTCTCGGCTTCCTCTAGTTCCTTGACGAAGCGATCGTAGTGGTGGACGACGTTGTTGTCGAAAACTTTGTGCCCTTCTTTCATGGTCTCGACTTCGTCAATGATCTTTTCGGCGGCTGCCATGCGGCGGGTTTGCTTTTCGTTCAGGGATTTGTAGCGCTTGGTGAGGAAGGCTCCGAGCTGAGCGGCTTCTGATACGCCGAGGTCGCAGAGCTTGGTGAGCGTCTTGACGTCGATGAGGTATTCCGTCAAGTTTCCGATACCGTAGCTTGGAGTGTAGTCATTGCTGTTGCCGTTGCCGTTGCTACTGCCGTTGCTGTTGTCATTGCTGTTGTCATTGCTGTTGTCATTGCTGTCGCCATTGCCGTTGTCATTGCTGTCGCCATTGCTTTTGCCTTTGCTACTGTCGTTGCTGTTGTCATTGCTGTTGTCGTGGCTTGCAGTGTAGACTTTGCTGTTGCGAATGGTGGTGCCATTGCTCGTGCCATTGCTGGTGTCGTTGGTCATGGGGGCCTTTCCTTTGCCTTTATAATTGGATGAGGAATTTGACGCGCCGGCGAAGGTTGGGGACGAGACGATTGGAGGTGAACGCGGTGTGGGCGCAACGGAACCGTTGGCTGAAGGCATACTGGCGGTTTGACGAACAGGTGAGCGAGATGTATACCTGATAAAACCGTAGACTGATTGCATATTAAGATTTTGATAAAGAGGGGCTCGTTGACGATAGCTTTGTGGATGATGTTGGTGTGTAGAACGAAGGATGATGGTGTTGGGAGATGGGTAGGCTTGCTTCACCTTGGTTCCTGCTCGCCGGTCCACCTGAGTTCTTCCCCTCCTCCCTCGCCACTTGGAGTCGCGAGCAATGTGGAAGTGACGAAGGATGAGATAAATGCTACAACGACCCCTGTATTCCTGAGATTCGCGATAACCCGGGAATCTGCACGCTATCAAGCTACCCGTGACCAAAAGAAAGGTTTTAGGAGGGCCTACTTTGTAGGGTGCTGCATATTCTGCGAAACAACGAACAGATCGGCATATCTTGAATGTACCACCTTGAATCGACGAACGATGTGTGAAGGGAGAGTCTCGACATCAATACCAGCACATGGGACGCACTGTTCTCTTGGAAATGAGTAAGACATCGCAAGTGGCATAGCAATTCACCTGCCCTCCATGATAGTATCCGTCGAAACAACATCGACTTCAAGAATTCGAGCAAGGCCAGACTGCATGCCTCAGGCACTTCTCACGGACAGCCCTGCCTGGTGTCGTCGGACACATCGGTCTAGGCATGCACCCTGGTAGGCCGGAGTATCACGTAAGAAGCCGAGGCAGGCCCGGAGAGGCGGGGAGGAACGACTGGAGCCAGGGAGGTGGGCTGATTTCTCGGTCTGGAGCCCCCATCTGACGGTAAGCGGCGATGTTGGATCGGCGTCGATGCTCCGCGAAGGATGGAGCATTGATGTGCAGGCAGGTGAGCAGGTGTATGTCGAGGAGGAGTAATCAGGCGCGGGATGTAGGCAAATGTCTCACCGCTATGACTACGCTCTATGTCTGTACGGGTTCGCTGGGAACGGTCAGCAGTGACGTAGTGACGGCAAATGGCGAATTGCGGGGGTTCCAGGTCGCAGCGTGGTTGCACATGTACATCATCTGAGGTCGCATAAGACGTCGAGGCAGGTACAAAGTGCCGACAGGCGTGTGTAAAGCCGAGAGCGTGGACTGGGCTCCCTGGTGCTATTACGGGGTGTGAGGAGAGCAGACATGGTGATGGTTCGCGCGAGGAAAGCAGGCCGACGAGCGCCCATGACCAGTCATCAATACGAGATGGTCAGAGGATAGATTGCTGACGAAGAGGCTGGGTGGGCGAGGAGTGGTCGAGGAAGTGGCGATGCGACGGTGGAAGGCGCGCCAGGCCGGATGAGGAACCATCAACAATCAACAGTAAGAGTGAGGGCAGCGGCAGGGAAGCCGCGTGGGGTGAGAGATCGGCATGCCGAAGCCAAGCCTACAGTAGTCGTGTTATGCTGGTCGTAGGCTAGGCTCACTGCAATCTAGCATGCTATGAGACAATCCACTACCGTAGAGCCTACTCCGGATTACATTGACATTGGGTCGCCTACTTTGCATGTTCTTACGTTAATGTAGACTGCAATGTCTGTTCAGTCTTTCTCTGTATGAGGCGGGCGGTCATGCTGGTGAGGGCTGAGCGGTTGTCTCGAATGTTCGGGCCGTTCAGTGCCGCCCCAGTCTTTATAACAGGTCCGGGTCAGTTTGGTCTGATTGGGTACCAACCAGACGGTTCGCAGGTTGCATCAAGTCGAGCGAGCGACTGGGCTGGGTCAGTCTGCTACAAGCGGCGCGCGCACAGCGACTGTTGAGCAGAAGCAAGAGTTAGCGCTCGCCATGGGGCATAGGCGACGGTTAACCGCTGGGTTGCGTTGGTCTTGGGCCGTCGCACGCTGAAGCCCCTTCGCAGCGCATCGCCGTGGAGGGCCAGCCCTGGCCTATTGGATGCAGTCGCGCTAGCCGGTGGGCTGGAAGAGGGAAGCATCTACCCAGCACTCTTGGCGGCTTTGGAGCCGCGAGCAAAACTTCGGTCCCTCCCTCGAGGTCCCGACCTTCTTTGTCTCCTGATGCACTAGCCCGTCTGCTGCGACACTGTCCTGTTGTTGTTGTTTTGCGCCTTTCCCTCACGACTAACGGCCGATCCCCCGACGCCCACGACGACACGGCCGACCGCAATTGCCTCGACTGCTGTGCCAGCCGGAGCTGCACACCCCTCTCCGCCCCCAGGAGCCTCAAAGCCGCGTCCACCGCGTCCAGCAACTGCCGCCTACCAACACGCACCACCCTGCGCCGCAGCCACGTCCTGGCCGCGCACGCCTCCAATGGCCGTACTGGAGAGCACTGCAGTCGCCCGCGACGCCAAACCCGCCGCCCTCGCCTCGTCTCCCCTCGCCCGGGTGATGCGCGAGTTCGAGGAGCTCGTCCAGGGCTTCGAGACGGGGCTGCTGCGCTCGCTCGAGGACCCCGCCGCCGACGACGTGACCACGCCCAAGAGCACCGCCCGGCGCGACGAGATCCGCCGCGAGGCCTGCCGGCTGGCCATCTCGGACCTCAGCAACCAGTACACCCCCAAGTACATCCGCCGGTCGCTCGACGCTGCCGAACTCGAGGGCAAGCGCGTCGAGGACCAGCTGCAGAGCCTCTCGCTCAGCGGCCGCGCTGCCGACGACGAGAGCGACCTGGGCAGCCTGCACAATGGCTACTTCCGCCTCTACTCCACCGAGCTCTTCGACCTGCTCGGCCAGCCCACGGAGCTGCGCTTCGGCACCCTGCGCTTCCACAAAGACACGCTGAGCCTGCCCGAGACCCCCTCGCCGCCCCACGTCACCGTCGAACTCGCCCTCAACGACGCCTTCTTCGTCGCCGACTCGGAGGAGACGCTGCCCTACCACACGTTTCGCCTGCCCACAACGCCCTCGTTACAGAACCGCGGCATACGCAGCAGGAAGTACGACGACGACGGCACCTTCCCCGAATACGACTCGTGGCTGCTCTTCACCTTCCTCGGCAACGGCTGCATCAAGCTCGAGGTGCCCATCGAGATGTGCGCAGACGTCTACGGCGGCTGTCTGCGGGGCCGGGAGAACGAGGAAGTGCTCTTCTGGGGTTTCTTTGTTGACGATGACGAGTAGCGTCGCATCACATTTGCTTGGACTGGAGTTGGTATCAAGAGCTAGACAGGGCTTGGCATTGGAGTTGGGCGCAAAGGACTGGCCTGGTCGGCCGCCGGAACGGGTGCTTGGACATGCATTCACGACTCACGAATTTCCTTAACTGTACCTTCCTCTTCTCATCCCCGCTGCGGGGCCATATTCCCTCACACTTTAGGCCGTCAATCCTGCGCGTCATTACATTCTTTCCAATTGCGTTCTGGGCGGCATTGTGCATAGCAGTTTACAGTTTACTCCTCAAAAGGCGGACGATGAGGTAGATGATAGAGCGCATGGAGCGACACAGCATTGGTACTCGATAATACACACCGACGGACAAATCACATGCGCCGGATAAACCTTCTGCCGATCCCTTGCTCTTACCTTTTCTGATGTCCAGCCAACCTTTGCATCTGCATTATCCTCAATTCGGCAGTCCACAAAGCAACATGGCGCCCACCTTGCCCGAAGCAGACGCTGCCGCTGCGAACACGCCCGTTGTCGCAAACACAGGATTCAGGTTGGGCGACGAGGAACAATTTTCAGATGCAAGCGATAGCGACCAATCACAGACGAGCCAGCGAAGCGCTTCCCCGAGGCGAGCAAACGGCCAGGCGCCTGCGACCAAGTCGAAGAAGAAAAAGCAAAAGGACCGACGCAAGATGGGCGCATTGGCTGATGAGTTAGTCGACGTCTTGGGCGACGCCTTCTCGACGCCCCAAGCCGACCTGCAGAGTGGTATGTCACGTGGTGGACATGACGATCTAACGTCTATTGATCCTACGCGCACTTGCTTTTGGCACGTGCGACCGGGGTGAGCGAGTCTAACAAGATGCAGGCCCGGTCCAGCAAGCCAACGGCGACCAAACTATGGCCATTGATTCCGAGCCTCTGGGCAAGAAGATGAGTGCGTTCTCCAAAGGACCCTCAAACGTCCACTTCACCGTCATACTAAACCTCGTCTAGACAAACGCACCCGCCAGAATCTCGCCAGAATGCAAGCACGCAAAGAAAGAAAAGTAGCTAACCCCAAGATGGACATGTCGGAAGACAAGACACTACAAGCCCAGATGGCAGCCGCGGAGCGCATAGGCATGTCCTTGGACGCATATCGCAAGATCGGCAGTGGCAAGGGCATGTCAAGAGCAGCCGCACGGAGAGCAAAGAAAGATGCCATCAGAAAAGAACGAGCTGCCACCGCGGAAGACGAAATGGAGATTGGATAGAAGAAGCTGAAAAGACGTGCGTTGGTGGCTTGAGATGAAAGTGCGGAGAAAGCATGAAGCTAAGGAACGAGACAATCCAAAAAAGCCGATGCATCAAACAACATTTTCCCATGTCACACGCTTTCGGACGTGATCTTGTTTTTCTGCGTCTTCTCCATGCGTACATGAAGATGCAAGCCTGACGCCACTGTCGTAACCCTCTCACATCTCCGCCAAGTCTCACATGTTCGTATCCAGAACTTAGCGTTCGCACCGCAAACTACGGTTCCCCAACCGCTCGCTGAATACTAACGTACCGTTTCTTTCGGTCCTACCCTCCTTCTACGCGAGCGTTTTCTGTCACTCTCGCTTACCTAGACACTGCGGGTCAACTATCGTCCTCGTTACCAAATGCGTGGCAACCGCTTCACCGCACATCGTGGAGAAAAGCAAGTTGGGAAAACAAAAACAGTTCAGTGTGGCTGGCAGATAGTACATTCTACCCTGTTTCTTGTGCCGATACTGCCCGGCAGTGTGGTTTTGTTCCGCGGGGAGGATCGGTGGGCTTTGTGATGTGAGGCGTAAAGAAGAAGAAGAAATGGTGTCACAAAAAGTAATGGTTGCATGCAGATATGTGTCACGTGAGGGCCTGCTGTTGCGGACCCTCTTTCTTGCAAAGAGATAAGGTCAGATAGGTCGGGGTTCTGGTGCCGCCTTTGGGGATGGAACGAGCAGAGGGGTCGTTGTCGCATGAGGAAGTTCTAGGTACCCTGATTGAGCAGATCGGATGCGTTGTATGAGATGTGGCAAGCATGGTGCAGATGGTGTGGAGACCAAATAGGAAGGTGTGGGGAGTGGGGTTGATTGATGGTGATGGGAGGGCTGAGCAGATGGATGGATGGAGTGATGTGGCGGAAGACTGATACAATCTGGGAGTAGGCGTTCTTGACAAAGGGCATTGATGCTGCTGTGTACGACATGACTGTTTCAGATCTTCGTAAACATTTAGAAAGCGTATTGTAGAGCACCCTAATGGGTACATGAGTAGAACGAGCTTTTTCTCTCGCCTTTGCCACTAGCATCTATACTGGTGGCAACTATCAAGAGATCAGCAGCATCACGCGTATTGTATCAGATTGAAAGATGAAAACGAATCGGACGACTGGATTCTTACAATGAGACTCAAGTCGTCAGGTTTCGTTACATTCAACTCAAGCTCCGTTCAATAATAACGCAACCCAGCACCTACACTGCCCCTACTCATGCACATTATGAATATGCCCCGACTCATCAATCTCCACCTTCGCCCTCTTCAAACTAGCATTCCTCGGGTTCGGCGCCTCAAAGATCTCCTTAAGCTCCTCGAGCGTCTTGCCCGCAGTCTCAACAAAGAAGAAGAAGATAAGCGCAATCTCAATGCAAATCCACACAATATAAACGAGATACAACTTCCAGCCAATCTTCTCGATACCGACGGAGATGCCGTAGGTATTGACGACCATGGCGACATTGAGGAAGAGGAAGTTGAGGCCGGAGCCCTTGGCGCGAGTACGGTTCTCGAGACACTCGACGGCGTAGAGGGTTTGGAGGGGGGTCCAGCCCCAGGCAAAGAAGATGCCGAAGAGGTAGATGGAGACGATGGTGCCGTAGGCGAGGTTGTTGTCGGGGGTGGCGGTCGCGGTGAAGGCTGTGAGGAGGACGTAGGCAAAGAGGCCGCCCCAGAGACCGCCCATGAGCATCTTTCTTCGGCCGAGTCTGTCGAGGAGGGTGGCGCCGTAGATGGCGGCTAACATGCTGAAGATTGGGTTGATAGCGTTGATGAGAAGTTGCTTGTTGGGGTCTTACGAAGTCAGTATATTATGCACATGTCTTTCGTGCAATCAGAACATACCAGTAATCCCAGCGTTTTTGACCATGGCTGGCATGAAGTAGCTGACGACGTTGTTACCACTCCATTGACCGAAGAAAGCCATGGCGATGACCATGGCCAAACGGTAGCGTGCGGCCTTGGTGTTTCCTAGCTCACGGAAGTCCCACCACGGGTTGTCGTTGCGAGTGACAGCAAAGTCCTCGGTAATCTCGTGTAGCTGGAGCTGGACGATGGGAGAGTTGGGGTTGCCGTTTCCGTGGTACTTTGCCATGATGGCGATGGCCTCTTCCCTGCGGTCATGCGCTAGCAGCCAACGCGGCGTTTCTGGGAAGAACATGATCAAGCCCATGACAATGGTCGGTAGAATGCACTGAACGATAGTTGGGATTCTCCAAGCCCACGAAGAGTTGCCCATGTGGAGATTGGTGCCGTATGTGGTCCATCCAGCCAGAATGTTGCCGACCCACCAGAAGTTGTTGTACATACCAGCCATGGTTCCACGGTAGGCAGGATGCGCGAGTTCGACGGTGTAGGCAGGGCCAGCAGCAGACGCGATGGATGCGCCAAATCCGAGGATGAAGCGACCGGCAATGAAATGTCCCATCTCATGGGCTGTGGCTTGAACGGCGGTTCCGACGAGGACGAGCGCGCAACCGACGGCGATGCAGATACGGCGACCGTAGCCATCAGCAAGGAATCCACAGAATGGGAAGGCGGCGATTTGACCAAGGTTGTAGATGATGAAGATGATGCCGGTGCTGGATCCCTCACCAGTCAGCCCGAAGGTGTTCTGGTACGCTTTCATCGCGTTGATGGATCCCATGAGGGAGCTGTCGAAGCCGTTGAGCGTAGAGACTAGGTACCCAACGCCCATGATCATGTAGAGCTGGATCATGCCGCGAGACCATAGCTTCGGCTTCTCTGCCTCGATAGCAGCGGCTGTATGCTGTCAGCGCATTGTTCCTGTTGTCTCAGATACAGCTTTGACTTACTGAGAGCTACGGAAGCTACATTGGCCTCCTTGACGTTCGCATGCTTGTTCATGTCATCGTCAACTGCACTCAGCTGGTGCGTCACAGCGCCCATGTCTTCGCTCTTCTCCGCCATCTTGAATGTGTCGCTGGCAAGGACTGGAGAAGATCTGGAGGTGTGGAGCAGAAAAACGGGAAAGCTCTCCACTTGATGGCCGATTTGCAACGATGCGCAAGCTTTCCGGAATACTGGGTCTCTTTATAGTATACAGGCTTCTCCGCAAAACAGGTAGCGCCTGCAGGTAATCTTACCCCATGGCACCGAGGCATCTGCTCTACCTTCCTGACCCGATGCATGGTTTCTGCTCTGCATGCAAACTGTTGCGCTCAGGCGCCACCCGGTTGGCCAAGTATGCTTGTTGTACGGCAATAGCACCGCATTAGGGGCGGAATATTAGCGGGATTACTGGGAAATTTTCAACTTCCAAGCTCGCTATACCGCGATGGTACCAAGGCCAAGTAATAGGGCCTTCTGCAGGGGCGGGCCCAGGTCCAGAAGCAGGCCGGTTGGCGGACGGACCTCCCAAATTGTACCAGCTCTGGGGCGCCACGCGCGAAGTCTTTACGAAGGAGATGAATCAAGAATTGAGCCGGTCGGTTTGGCATTGAGTCGCGATGAACCAGGCGAGGGTCAATGTGGTGTAGCTGGGCTGGGCAGCGGAGTGCGGGGATGGATTCCTGGAGTAAAGCCAGCCGAGTTGGGCAGCCGCCCCGTTGATCACACCCCTTGGAAAGGGAAACCAGACACCCATCTCTGCAAATACAGTCGTAAGAAAGTTAATGCTCCTGCAGTGCCTCTGTGTGTTATAGAATCGCGTTCCGAAATCATCACAAGCTGTAAAGCGCCTGTCCAAAGTTTTCCAAGGTTCCCTTTAACGGAGTCGGAGTGATCAAGCGAAGAACCCCCGCTCGCGCTTGCGCCCGGACGTCGCCCCATCAACCCCCCGATGCGAGTCTTCCCAGCTCCTACAAGCAACATGCGCCGTTTATTGCCGACACGTTCCTTAGTCCTGTCACCTGAGAAGCAGATGAAAGGTCCACTTGGCATCTACGACATGTGGGCGGACGGCTTCCCTGATCAGTCCAAGTCGCGCTGCCTACCGCAGTACGGCCGCCTTACTGTGGGGTGTCGACAACTGTATCAAAGATAGAGGACGTAGAGCAGTGGTTCGTGGAAGTACCATCAACTTTCAATCCATCCATCATGTCTTCAGGTCAGCACCCAGCGAGCGTTCCGGACTGGAACAACCTCGATATCCTCCACAAGAACACGTTGCCTGCGCGCGCATACTTTCACAACTACGCTTCTGAGGCTGATGCGCTTAGTTCCGATGTGAACAAGTCTACAACCCACAGCCTCTCCGGCACGTGGAAGTTCCAGCATTCATACTCGCCTTTTGAGGCTCCGGAAGGATTTGAATCCACTACATTCGACACATCATCATGGAGCGACATTGCCGTGCCAGGCATGTGGCAGCTGCAGGGCTTCGGCAAAGGCCCGCAGTATACCAACGTAATCTATCACATTCCGGTTGATCCTCCCAACGTGCCTTTTACCGAGAACGAGACTGGATCCTACGTTCGTAAGTTCAAGGTCCCGAAAGGTCTCCAGGACGGTCAGCTTCGACTACGTTTTGAGGGCGTTGACGCCGCTTTCCACGTCTGGGTGAATGGCAAAGAAGTTGGCTATTCTCAAGGTAGCAGAAACCCTGATGAGTTTGATATTACTTCGTTCGTCGATCTCAATGCTGAGAACACCCTGGCTGTTAGGGTGTACCAGCATTGTGACGGAACGTACATCGAAGACCAAGACCAGTGGTGGCTTAGTGGCATGTGAGTATGGTCCGTCGTCGAGATGAACCGAGACTCATCATCATAGATTCCGTGACGTCTTCCTGGTTGGCTTCCCCAAGGCTTCCCGAATCGAGAACGTCTTTGCCCAGACCCTCCTGGATTCATCCTACACTGATGCCGAACTCAAAGTCAAGATCAGTGCGACTGGCTCTGGCAAGGTTGCAGTAAAGCTGCTGGATGCAAACAAGCAGGAAGTCGTGTCATCTGAGGCGGACATCAAGGGTGATGGTGTGACTGAACTGAGTATCCAGGTCAAGGACCCACTCAAGTGGACTGCTGAGTCGCCAAACCTGTACCATCTGGTGGCCTCTTCCGGCGATCAAGTTATTGCCCAACGCGTTGGCTTCAGACAAGTCGAGATGAAAGATGGACTTATCAAAGTCAACGGTAAGAGAGTCGTGTTCCGCGGAGTCAACCGCCATGAACATCATCCCACTCTTGGTCGTGCTGTGCCGTACGAATTCATGAAAGAAGATCTTCTTCTCATGAAGCGTCACAACATCAATGCCATCCGCACATCTCATCAGCTCAACGACCCACGATTGTACGACCTCGCAGACGAGATGGGTTTCTGGGTCATCGATGAAGCTGACGTGGAATGCCACGGCTTTGAAAGTATCGCTGATGCCGCGCTGTCGAAGGAAGAGCGCAGTCTACCGTTCCGTGAGCGTCAACTTATAACTAGGGATAAGGCCGCGGAATGGACGACCGACAACCCAGACTGGACGAAGGCGTATGTGGACCGTGCGGAAGCACTCGTTAAGAGAGACCAGATGCATCCATCGATCATCATTTGGTCTCTTGGCAACGAGGGCTTCATGGGACGAAACTTTGTGGCGATGTACGAGCACATCAAGAAGTACGACGACAGCCGGCCTATTCACTACGAAGCGGACATTTACGCAGACACCATGGACATGTACTCCAGGATGTATCCCCCGCTCGACGAGATTATCAAGTTTGGTCAAGACAAGGAAAAGAAGAAGCCACTGGTGCTTTGTGAATACGTAAGTTACGCCATGTTGATCCTTAGTTCTATGACTTACCGTATTAGATCCACGCCATGGGCAACGGCCCCGGTAACATCAAAGAGTACATCGATGCCTTCTACAAGTACCCAACTTTACAGGGAGGTTTCGCCTGGGAATGGGCGAACCACGGTCTTCTCACCAAGGACAAGCAGACCGGCGAAGAATTCTACGCCTATGGTGGTGATTTCGGCGAAGAGGTTCACGACTCCACCTTCGTCATGGACGGTCTTGTCAACTCCGATCATTCACCCAACGCTGGTTTGATCGAGTACAAGAAGGCTATCGAGCCCGTACAGCTTCTAGAAGTGAATGGTTCAAAGGCCACGTTCATCAACCGGTACGACTTCATTACGCTCGATCACTTGGTCTGCAAATACACATCAGTCTCCTCTTCATCCTCTGATGGGGTTACTGGAGATCTGGAAATTCCTTCTGGTATCTCGCCTGGCCAAACCTTCGAGGTGCAACTTCCCACGATCGAAGCTCGCGAGGAGGAGGTCTTGGTTAGCATCTCGTTCCAGTTGAAGGAGGCTACACCATACTTGAAGGCAGGCTTCGAGATCGCAACAGCACAGGTGCCTGTTACTCCGGTGTCGTCCTTGAGGAAGCCTCAATCATCAGGCAAGCAAGTCACCGTCGAGACAACATCCCGCAACACTCTCAAGATTACAACGGAACAAGCCACCTGGGAGTTCAACACCCTCCATGGCAGTCTCACATCCTGGAAGCAAGGCTCGACCGAGCTCATCTCCAAAGCACCTGAAATGGACATCTTCCGCGCTCCTACCGACAACGACATCCCGCAAGACGGTTGGGATTGGAAGGACAAGCAACTCCACCACGCAAAGCCACTGACTCGCAAAGTCGAGTGGTCGCAGCCAGGCTCAGACACCTTCAAGGTCACCGTGCATCAACGCGTCGCACCTCCAGTCCTTTCATGGTCCATCGACTGCGTTCTCACATACACATTCAGCGCCAACGGCACCCTATCCGTCCACGTCACCGGCACACCCAAGGGCGAGAACCTACCCCGCACCCTCCCCCGCATCGGCCTCGTCCTGGAACTCCCCGCGCAATTCCAACACGTCGAATGGTTCGGCCGCGGCTTCGGCGAGACCTACCGCGACAGCAAGCTCTCCCAGCCCGTAGGCAAATACACAGCCTCCAGCATCGACGCCCTCTGGGTCGACTACGAAGTACCCCAAGAATCAGCGAACCGCACAGATACCCGTTATGTTAGCGTCACTAACGGTAGTGGCGCGGGACTGCTCGCTCAGTTCGCGGATAAGAAGGGTGGGCACAAGAAGTTGTTTGATTTCCAGGTTAGCCATTATAGGATGAAGGACGTTGCGGCTGCGGACCATCCGCATGAGTTGAGGAGGAAGAAGAGGGAGGAGGTTGTGCTGAGGTTGGATGCGGAACATCATGGGTTGGGGAGTGGGAGCTGTGGGCCTAGGACGCTGGATGAGTATAGTTTGCTGTGCGTGCCTTTTGAGTTTGAGGTTGTGCTGCAGGCCCCATAGGTGGATGTCGTCACTTAGGACACAGTTCGACGAGGCGGAATATAGACCAACAGTTCATCTTGTGACGGTATATTCCAGATGTTCAGTTCTGACGAATTTTTGGCTTCTCGTATCTGCAGTCCCGATGTCGGTTGTTCTTGTAGGCGGGTCGCGGTGGCCTTGCGGGCGTCCTTCCACGTGCGCTACTGCTCTTGCTCTCACCTTCACCTGTCGCGACTGCCAAATTTTCGCCCACTACCACTAGCTGTTTTCCACCTCACCTGGGCACAACCTCCACGCTTTCTGATTCTTATCTTCTCCAAGGTCAACATCATGGCGAGTGGAACGAAGAAGCGACGAGTAAGTGTTAACGCGACTGCATCAGCTCTTGCCTGCCACGAAGACGCTGATGCGCTTCCGTCGCGACCCAGCTAACATTTGACAGAAGTCGCAGTCTCCGGCCTGCGATACCGCTTCAAAACGCGCACGTGTTACCTCGAAACGTACCCAACACGCCGAGCCAAATTCGAATTCGTCGCGCGCCGGATCTGTCAAAGACACATACCGGGCGCAGAAGCAGGGCCGCTCGATATCACTACCCACTGGAGACGACTGGGTGTTCCGTGTGAAAGTTATTTCGTCCGCGACCGACCTGGGGAATGATCTATTCAAGAACGCAGTACAGGGGCTTGTAAGGATCTGCTTTCCTGAGGGCATCCTCGACCAACTGGGACCGCAGGTACTGGAGCAACATATGCGTGAAGAGAAGGCACCCGAACAAAACATCGAGAGAATGGGGGATTTATTCCGATCCGAGATGGCTCAACGTGTGGCCTCCATGATAGCAGGGCATCTCGACACGGCTGCCAAAGTCGACTCGGTCCTGGGAACTATCTTGTTTGCCAGCGCAAGAGCTCATGGAGATAACCTTGGAGAGGACATATTGGGTTATGTCACTGATAGCCTACTCAAGCTGAAGGTAAAAGCCTCTGAACGCTCGACAGAGTGGTTAGCCGGCGGTGACGCGGCAGCAACAGAAGAAGAAGAAGAGGGTAGTAGTGATGGAGAGAGCAGCACCAACGATATCTCTAACAAAGAGCTTACGCCACCGCCAAAGACGAAGAAACCCAAGAAGCGAGATAGGAAACAACAACGCGCGCGCTCGAAGACACCAGATGACATCTTAGAAGACGTTGAAGTGGATAACAACGTACCGGCGACACTGCCTAAGCAACACACATCGAAGAACAAAGACCGAAAGATTTCTTCTACATGGAAATGGCATGTTGACGCGGCAGAGCTCGCAGACGAAGACGTGGCTGACACCTTTCCACGCACGAGCGACCTGTTTGCGTATCACGCATTACCGATTTCTCAACGCAAGCTTGGACCCAGTGCATCAAAGAAAGAGATCAGATGTGAGATGCAGTCGCTACTCGATGGCACGCCCCAAGAGGAGTTTGAGAAGTGGGTCGAGAGTTTGCAAAAGCTACTTGATGGTGACCGCGATATGTTGGAGCGACAAGAGTCAACATCTTTGGATCACCAGCAGCAGTTGAGTCGTGTAACCCCGGCGCCTATTGATACACGGAGACACTCTCAAAAAGCCACGGGCAACATATCAGGCAGTTCGACCTATCCTGAAACCGATCTAGAAAGGGGTAATGGACCTTCGCGCCAGGATACTTTCGTCAAACGCGAAGTTGTTGTTGAGTCAATGGAACAACCACATACGCCTAATCAAATCCATCGAAATGATTCGTTATCGGAAGCTACGGCTACCTTACGACAAGTTTCATTAGAGGAGAGCCGTACTCCGTTGCTTGGGCAGGTTTCGGAGCAAGTAGGCGGGAAAAGTTTCCCGAGTCACGCAAGTATGCTGGATTGGGTTAGTGATGCTTTGCTATCTTATATCATCGAGCTAATCAAAATCAGGCATCAGGGATGAAGGATAATGTTCCGGTAACGCTTCTACTGTGGGGCAAAGGCCGCATTACTCAGTCTCAGTGTCAATACGTCACGCGGACAATCATGTACAATCTCAATCGCCGAGTATCAGCTGGAGTAAGACGTCGCTTATCAATTGATATACATCAGCTAACTCGTTCCAGTATATCCGAAGCACAGAGTTAGATGGCACAAACAAGACTCTTACCAAGTCCGACCTCCAAAATGACATCGTTAGCGCCTTCTCCGAGTCTGGGAAATCGTTCAACCTCATAAGTGTACTAAGGATCATTGAAAGTAAACTAGTACCTTGGGCTATTGTAAACCTGAGTGCTTTTCCAGAAGTTAGGGACAGGCGTTTCGTTTTCACTAAACTGATGACGGTAGGGTGTATTGGATGAACGTTTATATCAACCCGCACTAATAACGTGCAGGATGTGCCAATTGCGGTGGACCTACTCTTTGGTTCCTGGTCCGCAATATCTGCGAAGAAAGGTCATCAGGTTTGGGAAAGCCTCTTGCAGGCTCTTCAACGACGCCGCATATCCGAGGTACTTTTCTTTATTGGAAAACAACGCTGTTCAATTTGCTAATGATTATAGAAAATAGCTGGTGATTCCTGGATAAAGTTTGCGAATGTCAGTAAGATTGTGCAGGAAAGAGGAAAAACAGATTGGGTAAAGTGTCTTCTACTTGAACGCACCTTACGACGCTTGGCGTTCGCGCACAAAGTCTGTTTTCCAGAGCTGAAAGCTACGCCTGTCGTAATGGCTTGGGAAAGAAAGACGGGGTTGATATGGTGAGATCCGGCCGGTGTTGCGCATGCACTGTGTGCAACTGTCAACGAGATCTCTGGTGTTCGTAATGTCGATCAGTTACGAACAGCTTCATGAACACCATCCTGTGAGGTATAAATTCTGTGTTCTGATTGCTGCGCAGACTTTCAGGCAAATTTGATACTGTTGGGGGCCCGGCTGTGAATGATGTGCGCGGAGCAGATCGCAAAGCTTTGCTGGCACATACCGAGTACTACAACACACAATCTCTGAAATATCCCTCATAACGCTACGTTGTATACGTCGTAGATGCGCTCGTCTTGGAACGCCAAAATCCCGTCCAGAGGAGTGACGGCACGATAAGGCCCGAAAACGTTGGAGAAGGGTAGATGTGGGGTCTTCTCCGCAATGTGGGGAACAACACCTTCACACACGCCCGACCCATGTCTTCACCCAGCCGAGAAGGCTTGTTCCTGCAGGATACATTAATAACGGAACATGGTGGAGATCTGGGTCATCTCTTCGCAGTACACATCTTACGTCTTCCACAATGACGCCCTCACCAATGTACATCGACCCGGAATACCAGTCCACACATTTCAACCTCTTCAAAGACTCTATTACTGCTCCGCTAAGATCCGTGCTGCCGCCTGGTGTTGACCGAGATGCATTTGACAAGGCAATCACGAAATACAAGGGTGTTGTTGGTGATGCGCAGGTGTATTCAGGTGATGCATTGACGGAGTACATCGACCCGTACGAGCTGCACGAAGCGGAAGGAACTCGCAAGATGCCCAGTGCAGCCGTACGACCGAAGAACATCGAGGAACTACGAGACGTGTTGAAGATTTCGAACGAGTTCAGCATTCCAGTATGGACGTTCTCACGAGGAAAGAATCTCGGGTCAGTACATTCCCACGTACAAACCAGCTACGCGCCATCTGACCATCTATCAGATATGGCGGACCCGCCCCTCGCGTAACCGGCTGCGTAGCCCTCGACCTCCACCGCATGGACAAGATTATCGAAGTAAACGCCGAATACGCGTACGCCGTCGTCGAACCAGGCGTCACATTCACCGATCTCTACGACTACTGCGTCAAGCACAAGCTCAACGTCTGGCCCTCCGTACCCTCTCTCGGCTGGGGCTCAGTCATTGGAAACACAATCGATCGCGGCACAGGCTTCACGCCCACAGGAACCCACCACCAGCACATCGCCGGCGTGGAAGCCATGCTGGCAAACGGCGAGCTCGTCCGAACAGGCCAGTTCGCCATGTCCAACTCCCCATCCGCACACCTCTCCAAGTTCTCATTCGGACCCAGTATCGAGGGACTGTTCCTGCAGTCCAACCTTGGTATCGTGACTAAACTAGGTATCTGGCTCACGCCCGCACCCCAAGCTTTCATGTCCTGCTCGTTCGACATGCCGGATTTCGAAGACGTGGAAACGATTGTCGATATTTTCGGGCCGTTGCGACGCGACGGGCTGCTTCCCAACACCGTGTACGTGTCCAATGTGACGGAATGGCTGGGCATGATGGGTCCGAGAGAAGACTTCTGGCCACACGACACTTCGATACCGGATTGGAGGATCAAGGAGTTGCAGAAGCAGTTTGATCTGGGGTATTGGAATGCCAAGTTCGGCCTGTATGGCGCGAGGGATGTGATTCAAGCGCATTTCGACGAGCTGAAGAAGATTATTGGGAAGAAAGCGCCAAAAGGTCGATTGATTGGTAAGATCTTTTCTGCGCCGGATGGAGAGACGTTGGATCCTACGTCTGTTCCTGAGATGGATGGTGGGTTCTTCGTTGGTATACCGACGCTCTGGTCGCTTCCTATGGTGAAGTTCCGCCTGCCAAAGTCCGGGGGTGGCATTGGTGCGCATTACGACTACAGCCCTATTATACCTTCCAAGGGCAAAGAGATTCTGGACTGGGTCAGGACCGCGAAGAAGATCTGCGAGGCGGATAACTTTGATTTGTTCTGTGACTTCTTTATGCATGAGCGTCATGGTAAGATCGGACTTTTGAGCGGTGGATGATGACATATACTGACGTCGATACCTTATCTAGTCATTTTCGTCAACATGTTCACGTTTGACAAGACGAACGCGATGCATCGGAAAGCGGTGCAGAACATCTTTGATGGCCTGTTCGAGGCGGGTAAGAAGAGGGGATACAGCAAGTATCGCAGCCACGTCAACACCATGGGTATGTGTTATATCTTCTGCCTCGAGATTGCCTGTCAGTCGCTAACTTCTTACCCAGATCGTGTCGCTTCGCTGTATGATTTCAACGATCATGCGTATCGAAGGTTCGTCGAGACGATCAAAGACGCCGTCGATCCTAATGGTATACTGTCGCCTGGTAAGCAGGGTATCTGGCCAAAACGGTTCCGAGGGGATGAGGTATCAAAGGCGCATCTATGAGGCGCAGTATTGGTGTGGATGTCGAAGGAGGAAGCGCAGAAATGGATATGTACATTATTGCTTGGACTTGGAGATAGAAGCCTCCAAATGCATGAGTGCAGGCGTCTCAGCTGGCCAGCTTGGTCCAGTATTCAACGTGTCATTATGACACGTCGTGGTGTTGCCCTGGAATCGCGCTCATCATTCAGCTGATTCAGCGAGATGGGGTCGACAACGAAACATAGACGAGGGCAAGACCATAGCAGCCGAATGCGTGTTTAAGCTCGAAGCCCGATCAATGGGAGCTGCCTTAGGAAATCGTCAAGGCACAGCGTCCACTGCACATCGAAGCTCGGATCGTCACAACAACCAGCACAGAGTATGAACTGAAGAAAGATGTATGTCCAATTATAGTCCTACACATCCACAGAAGAATATGGGTAGGGTGGAGAAGACACGGCTCTGCTAAAAACCAATATTAATCTCCCACAGAGAGAAAAGTTGCTTCCTGGCCATGAAGACGAGCCAGGGAGCAGGCAAGAGTGGGGTAGTAGCATACAACGCGCACAGCAGCGACGACTCTCCGAACAACAAACATTGAATCATTCGGTGTCGAGCACGTGCCGCAAGCTGTGCATCGCGAGGTTGTTGATGAGCAGAAGAACGAGCCAGAGCTTGGTTTTACGTGTGAAGAATTTAGCCCGCTCGGACCCTCGTCTTTGTCAGCATTCGCTTGGCGCTGCCCGCGCGCCTGAAAAGCTCGTCGCAGCTCGGCCTCAGCTTTCCTTCCATATTCACAAAATCACAATGGACGATTAATCAACGGCTATACTGAGCTCTTCATCTCTATAGTTGTCATATTTGCGTCACTAGAACAATATCTGGCACTTTTAGGCTTTTTGCTACGATTTCTATGTTGCTTGAAGCCACCTGCGTGACCATACATTCTTTTGAACAGCGCTGAGAGTGTTGAATGTGCGCTTCTGTGTGTGCTTTGCGTATGCTTTTGAATAGCTGGGAAGATTCCTTCTCTAGAGTACCGGAGAGCTGACGACGGCAATGTCTGTCAGCGTTGGATCGTATCTGCGGCAACGAAGACGGCGGCCTCGGCCTTACCAAAACCACCTGGGCAGATCGGCAGCGTCTACGAGTCGCGCCACCACGCCTGCACGTCGTTCATGCGCTGTCGTAAGCTGTTCCACGCCCATCGGGTTGGGAGGTCGATGATGTACTTTTGGGCGGAGGGCAGCAAGCTCAGACAGGGGCATGATGCCGTATATAGACCAAAAACGCAGGGTTCTGGAGCTTGTGCGGATGCCATGTGTGAAGTGGAACGGATGCATTACTCGTCATCGCGCGTGTCAACTAAGGGCCCTACGAGCTCCCCTTTCTGTGCTCATGTTTTGCTTTGCGATGGACTTGTTCATTCTCTAGTAATCTTACCTACGCGCCCTCTTGCCGTCCGTCCTGCCCCCTTTCCCCGCGCGTATTGCTCTCGTGCACGTTCTGCCGCTCCCCGATCTTCAACCTCCGCCCGAACCGCTTCCTCCTTCCAGACTGGACGACATGGCGTCGGCTCTGAACAAACGCCAGCAGGCGCGTAATGAGCGTGCGCTGCAGGACCTCATCAAGACGGTCCCTGGAAACGGGACATGCGCCGACTGTGGCGCGCGGAATCCAGGTACGTAGTGCAGGCGCATCTCGTTGGGCTCTCAGATGCTAACCAGGTCATACAGGATGGGCAAGCTGGAGTGTAAGTCTACCCATACCACGAAGCGAAACCGTACCCTCTACGAACCGATCGTCCCTCGACCGT